TACATTTTTTTTTCGCCCCCCCCCCCCCCCCCGGAGGCGCAACATGATGTTCTGTGTCCCCAAAGAGAATATTTTAAATCCACACATGTATGAAAAACCAGTATCCCTACTGACCTCTGATCTTTTCCACAGTCATCAGGTACTGCTGCTTCATCTCCTCAAGGCCTTGCTGAAGATTTTGTAGTTGATCAGAACTCCTGTAAGTAAGAACATTATAACTGCTGGCATTATTTTACCTTTCCTTAATAAAACTAGTTATCTCTGTGAATGTTAGTAATGCTGTGCTCACCTTACACAATTAGCCGATCACCAGAATTTAATTTTTGAGACCAAAGTAACATGGCATATTTAAATATTCCCCCAAATGCAAGATGCTTGAACTGAGTAACCATAAACAAGGGTAACAATACAGGCAGAGAAAATGACACAAACCCTGGAGGTTCTCTGGCTCTCTTCACTTCTTCCAGCTGCTGCAGATGTTCCTCCTTAGCTTTTTTAGAGCTGCGTTCATGCTCGTCTACAATAAACAGTGGTGTATCCCATCAACACAGATGCAGTGCAACATGAGTCAAGCTATTTAGATAAATAATTTAAAACACATTAAATAAATATACCTTTGAGATACTGCATGGCAGTTTTGTGCTCTTGAACACTGTGCTGGAGTTGATGACAGGCTTTCTGCAAGTGTCTCTGGAGCACCTGGTTCTTCTTCTGTAGTTTACTTAAATTCTCAATGCACTCCTTCCTGCAACGAGCAGGCTCCTTCCTCTGGGACAAACAGTCTGGAAACAGTGGACAAGTCAACTAGTTGATGGTCACTATCATCTGAGCAAGTCAGATGAACAGACAACATGAGCTATGGGTGAAAAAAGCAGTAATAAAGTCCATGACTTTACATACTTTGCATTTTGTCGAGTTCTCTTTCATATTGTTCCTGTGTTTCTTTTAACACACAGCTCAGTCGTTCCTCACTTATCTATAGGGATGCAGATTAAATCGTAAAGGTAAAATTAACTGATATATTTTACCGCATTAGAGAAACAATCATACAGATGGCACCTTCAGACAAATCATAAATAAATGCTACAGTTATATCCGAAATGCACTTTGGATAAACGTGCCATGACCAGGATGAATGTGAATCGACACAGATAAATGCTACAGCATATAATCAGGGCAGTATTCCTGTGCTGCAATACTAAATCAATCACTGAGCAGAGCAAGATATGGTAAATCACTAACAGATAAAATGACTTATTTCATCTTAGATAACCCAGTAACAGCTCACTTTCTTCCAGTCCTTCTTGGCCTGGGACACTGCTTGGTTGACTATGTCTCTGCATGAAATCTGAACCATCCGTGCTATTGTGCCTTCTGACGAGGACCCACTGGTCTTCCTGGTGTCTTCTGTGCCCTGCAGATCTCTACTAAAATCCCTGAGAAGTTGTCCCTGGATCTCTGCCAGTGCAGTATGAAGCTCTGTGAATAGTTCATCTCTCATCTTCTGTCTCTGGGTCAGCTCCTTCTCTGCATGCTGATGTCTCCACTCCTCCTCTCGAACCCTCACTGTCTGCTGAAGCTTCGCCTCCATCTGTAGGAGCAGCTCCTTCTTCTGGAGGTCGGCATCCTGTAAAGCTTGTTCCAGCTTTTTGCGTTCTTCTTGCAGCTTAGTTTGGTAATCCTGCTCGCTGCGGACCTGAATGATAGAGATCTCCTGCTGTTTATCTCGGTTCCAGGCTGCTCTAGCTCCAGCCAGCTCAGCCTTCAGCAAGGCAGCTTGCTCTCTTCTCACTTGCTCCAGCTGACTCTGGAGAATCACCACCTCCTCTTGGAGTTCCTCCACCTGCAGTGCTCCAGAGCTCTGCGCCTCCAACTGGTTCTTGTGCCTCTTATTCCACTGTTCCTCTGCCTCCCTCAGGGCCTGCGACACCTGAAAGATGTCAACAAAGAACTCTGTTGACAGCAGTGACACATGAACTCACAAAGAATCAAAAAAACATGTCATACCCGTTGTTCTGTGTGTTTTTTTTGTAGTTCTTCCCATTTCTCCTTTTCTGTTTGCAGAGAGGCTTGATATTCTGGTAATGAAGTCAGGTCTTCAGTCCAGCGGTTGTAGGCCCTGGTCACTGCACCTTCAACCTGTGACAACACATTTACTTTTTGTTTGAAAAATATTTTAGAATAAAATAATATTTACGAAAATCATTCAAATCAGCTGAAAGCCTTTTTTTTAAGTACTGTTCCATCCTTTATATGTGATTAATACAACTCTAGCTCAATGGGAAGCCAAAGATGGGATACTAAGTTTGAGGTAATTTGTTTGCTTTACCAAGTTTAGCAGCGTGGGTATTAGTTTGGTAAGTTGGCGCCACCGATACAAAATGTACAGTGAAGAACATTTGCTAAGCAGCTGATGTTACAAAGACAACCCACTGACCTGTTTGGCCATGTCCTCCAGGTGTTTCTTGTGAAGCTCTCTCTGGGTTTGTTTCCTGGCTTCCTCCACAGCTTTGCATCTGACTTGGTCAGCTTCCAGTTGCAGCTGCTGTTTCTGGGCACTGAGCCTGGAGTCCAGCTCCTCAGCAATAACTGTCACACTACTGGCCTCAATCTCATCTGTCTGACAGGTTGCCTCAGCAGTCTCTCTGTGTTTCTCCTGCCTAGCCTCCTCTAGCCTCTGGATCCAGGTCCTCTCCATCTGCACAGAAGCAGGAAAATTCTCAAGCCCAACATGAACTAGAATGTCAGTAATTTTGGATCATCATACCTTTTGCAGTTCATCTTTCCACATGGCCTTTGCTGAGGCTACATGAGAATTCACCTGCTGCTGGATCTCAGCCTCCTTCTCTCTGGACCAGAGAACTTTGAGCTGGTTTACTGAAGCCTGATGCTGTGCCTCGAGCTCAGTCCTCAGATTCTCCATAGCTGTACTACTCTCCTCTCTCATCCTTTGCTGATAAGAACCAAATGATCATAAATCAATTATTTTCTACATGTAATCCACAGGCAACTTAATTGCTGAGAACATTTTATGGAATAGAGCATTTACCAAAAGTCACATAATAGAAGCAAATTGTTAAAAAAAAATGGCTAAAGCTTCGACTCAAAGCACAATCTACATGTGCAATTCAGGCAAAGGTACACTATGTACAAAATGGGGTAAATATGGACCTACTGTATAATGTAATCTAATAGTCCTGCACTCTACACTAACTGTATTTGAATTCTGTCCATTTTCTTTTGTGCCTCCCTTTACATGGACTAATGAGTGTGAGAACCATGAGCAGAACTCTGTTATTCACTTTGATATGTTAGGAGTAACTATACCAATTTTATAAACTTGTATACCTCAAGTTCTTTGATCACAGCCTCCTCCGTTTCACTGTTGCATATTCTGTTTTCTAGCATGTCCTTCTCCTGGCAGACAGATATGTAACACTCTTGCACAGCCAACACTTTATCACTGGCCTCAGATAGCTGGGTCCTGTGTAGGAACCAGTAAACACTGTAAACAAGCTGCTGAGTTTTCCAGACAACTAAAATTCTCAGGGACGGGTGCTGAGGACTTACTGTAATTGCTGGACCAGCTGCTGGTGCTGTGCAGTCAGCTGTTCAATCTGAGCATCATGTTCCAGCATGAGCTCTGTTCTGACCCGGTTCACCACATCATCCCTATACTGCTGATGTATCCGCTCAAATCTCCATACAGAAATCAAAATTGTATATATATTAATACACACACCTTAACAAAAACATTAAATATAAACATTTATAAATAATACAGCGCTCTCTGTGCCTTACCTCTCAGCAGCCTCCTGCTTCTCCTGGTCCAGCTCCTGGATCATTTCTCTCATCTTGGTGCATAGCTCTGAGTTGGCAGACCTCACTTTTTCCTCATTCTCTTTCAGCTCCTTATTCTTTTTCTCTAGCACCTAAAATTGGGTCGGTAAAAACTTTATTGATTTGGTCCAAACACAAAGAACAAAATTAGTGCCAATAAACTACACCCTACCTCCACTTGCTCCTGTAGATGTCGTTTTTCTTTCTGCAGTCTCATCAACTCTTTTCGAGACTCTCCATTCACATCTAGATGTTTCACCTGGCTGGTCTCCCTGACCTACGGACATATAATAGATGCTGATTTTTATTATTGCTGTCTGCATTCCAACCACATTATTATAATATACCATTTATTGAAGCCTTATTTTTTGTAACACCAGTATAGCCTTTGTTTCTTTTAATACTAATACAGCTGTAGGGGGGAGGGGGGGGACATGCAAGTATATAACACTTCCATACGTCTTAACAGGTTCGTTATCCACCTGAACAGTTTGTGTGTTTTTCCTTTTTCTGTTTTTATTAGCAGGAAACCAAGTTAGTCAATCTTCTTAAATCTAAAGAATAGCTATCTGAGAGCGCATACATACTAACACAGCATTAAATGCTTTGCTCAGCAGTTCAACATTAAATCTAGTGGCTGTTCATGTAAGGGGGAGTACTCACCGCAGAGCTGAGCTTGGCTTCATCTAACTGGGTCTGCAGCTCATTCGCTCGGCTCTTACAGTGCTGGAGCTCCTCCTGCAGCTGACCGATCTTCTGTCGCTTCCCCTTCAGACTACCCAAGCAGCGCTGCATCTCCACTCGCAGCAACTGTAAAGCCTCCTCCTCTGGCAGCTTGGAGTCTGACAGGTGAGCCAGGGCAGTACTGATGAAACAGCAGGGACAGTTAGATTTTGATTGATATTTATGTGAGTGCCAACGACTCTGCTCAATAATCACTGGTATACCTGTGAATTATGCCATTTTTCTTGTTTGTTTTCTTTAACCCTAAATCCATACAGGACTCGGACAGCTGGTTCTCAGAATCAATGTTCAATTCAAATGCAATAACACCATGTTTGACAGCGGACTCATAGAGAGTGATCTGCTCCTTCAAATCAGCCAGATCCTCCTTTGGGATTTAAAAAAAAGAAAAAGATTAGGCAGCAATAACAGTAATATTAAATTAAACCTAAGAGATACAATTTTGAGAATCATTCTGTTTTGGGGCAGAAAAATCAGAGAGCAAACCTGTAAGACTTTGTTCATGTCTTCGCTCAGCGCCTTGGCTGACTGAGCCTGTTGTAGTTTGATTTGCATCTGACTCATCTCCTGCACTGAACCTGAAGAAAACAGAGCCACAACAAAGAAGAAAATTTGGATTTCAGGAAATTTAACTTAAAAGCTATGTACATGGAAGTTACTCAATGTCCTGTGCTTTCTTCTCAACAGAGCGTGTACATAAAAGACAAAAATGTGGTTGTAGTCCATATTCATCCCTTCACTTACTGGTCTGCAGCAGCTTGGCACATTGTTGTTGGCTCTCTTCTAGGCGCTGAGTGAGGGCATTAACGAGTCTGGCTCTCTCCAGTTGCTCTTCCTCTCTTTGGTGCTCCAGCTGCTTCACCTGCTCTCTTAACCTCTGACTAATATCAATCTGGAAGCAACGAAACAACTACACTATCAACATACAAACTTTCAAAAGGCAAGTGATTTTGACCATCAGTATATGGACATTTATTTGAAATCAGAATTTTTTCTGATGGATAGTCTGTTGACATGTTAAAGGGTTTCCACTCTTTTCAAGAAATAATTTTCCAGGACATTTTCAATTACACAAGGCTTTGATGTCAAATGGGGATCAGGTCCTGGACTAACAAGCTCCTCTGTGAGGAAGTCTCTTTTAAATCATATGCATCAATCTATGATGATACTTTATCTGTATAACTAGTCTTTAGGTGCTTTATTAGCAATTGATTGATGACTGTCAAACTCTCCCAAACACACATGCAGATGTTCAGTCCCTCAATGACTGTTAGTATCCCACTATAAATGTGTGAGCTTTACTTTCTGCAGTTTTCCTTGTCTCTCTCACTCTCTCTCTCTACAGTCTCTTTTACTTCACAGGATAGGGTGAAAAAATGAAAACCTGACTCTGTAGAGTTTAGCATAACTTAAAAAAAAAAGCAATCTGACCTCACTCTTACAACAGACCTGTTCGTTCAGAGCTTGAGAGGTAGCGTCGAGTTTCTGATGAAGGGCCAACAGTGCAGCCTCATGCTGCTCCTTTATGATGGCAAGGTCCCTGTCATGCTGCTCCCGTGCTCTGGACAGGGTGTCAGAGCGACAAAGTTCCAACATTTGCTGCTTCATGCTGTCTACTGCAGCCTCTGCCACCTTCTGCTTCTTCATGTTCTGCACACAAATTAAGACTTCTATACAGACTGAAAAAATACACAGCTTTTATCACAGGTTTCAAAGGCAATATTAATGCTACCTGCAGGTTTCAGTAAGTGATACAAGCAGCATAGCTTTAAGTCTGTTTCAGAATGTACTGCATAAAAATTTAGAGAGGAATATACTTTATTTCATATCAAATTTTAACATTTTGTAAAACTGGCACATCTTTTAAATGCACTAAATAAGTCCCATATGACAACAATTACTGCCTTCTCATAGATGACTTTTTCACCTTTCTTATTGTGTTTCTTCCTAAATTATAGATAACCTGGTGCATTGCAGCTTGTATTTCTCTTTAATAAGAAAATAAGCAACAAACAGCAGTGTATCAGCGCACAACCTACCTCCTGGTCTCTCTCATTCAGGACCTGTACCTGCTGCTCCAATGTCTTCATTTTGTGTTGCATTTGAACCTCCCTCTCCTTGGCCTCTTGGACCAATCGACTTGATTCCTTTAGGCTTATTGCTAAGCCATCCTTTTCATCTGTTAATGACAAACAAATGGCATAATGTTCCCACAAACAGCACATTCAGTAAGAGACGACGGCCAGTCCTCTCAACAGTCACAAGGAGGATGACATACAGTATAACTGAATGATGACATATCCGATTTTATTTACTTCCATCAATCTCAGCCAATCACTACACACTGATAGACAACCGGTCCATTGGCTTTCAGTGGTGTAACAGTAAATTAAAATGTATTTGAAAAGCCAAAGTGTCAAACAAACTATTACAGACACAGTGACTGGTTTATCAATTTAAAATTCATGATTTTTTTTCCTCAAAAGTGTAAATAGTTTGCTTTTCAATATATGTAAGGAATAAATATAACCTTTCAATCCTTGAAAAGGTCGCAGGATCAATATACTGTAATCAAATTACTTTACATGGGTTATGAACTGAAATAATGGGAGGTGCAATTCCCACTCCTCACTCTGAAAACAAAAACATACCTTTAACTATTGCTAACTGATGCTCAATGTATCTCGCAGTACGCTGTGAATCTTCCAGTTTTCCCTCCAAGTCTTCAATTTGCTTTTGCTGAGCTTTGTATAAAATCTGCAGTTGGGCAAGTTGCTCCCTATCAGCGGTTTCTGAAACACAGCATAGCATTAATATTCAACAGATTAACAAATATTAATGCAACAAATTAACAATGTACCCCCTATTTAAACTTTGGGAAGATATTTACTTTTTCAACAATGTCATATGAGAGGGTGCAGGTTATACAATAACATGCCTCCAGGTTCACAGTGGTAAAGTGGTGCAGGAAAAATTTACATTCACAATAAGACAAATCCCTTTTCAACTATTACAGTACTGTGATTTATATCTAACTGTATTATTAACCCAGCAACTAAATCAAAAAGAAACTAAGACTTACGCTGCATAGAGTCAAGAAATTCTCTTTGCAGATCGTCAAAATGACCTTCTTGGTGAGTGGTCTGCGAGTTGAACATCTTTGGCTGATGTGCAGGCTGGTGAGGATTGTAGCTGCCAACCTTGTACTGATTTCCACCTCCTTTCACTGCTCCAGGCGTCCTAGGCTTAAAATCAAATGCAGAAAATACATTGTTTGAAACAATAATAATTATTATACTCAATAACAAACATAAACCAACTCAAAGTTTTACAATTAAACTACTGTACTACTAATTCACAAATACACAATAAAACTGTACAAAATGTAGACTGACACAAAACATTCAACATTCATGTCAAATTTCAAAGCAAATATTGTATGAATTGCATGTACAGGAAGTAAAATATGTCTCAAATAATGTTGGAATAAAATGAAAAAAGGAGAAGAATTTGGTTTACAAATGATAAAACCAATCTTTATTTGTTATTATTCATTCATTCATTTTCTATACTGCTTAGTCCCAAATGGGGTCACGGGGGGCTGGAGCCAATCCCAGCCTATTTGTTATTATTTATTCAAATTATTATGGGTCATAATAACTAAAAAGTGCTTCACCAGAAATTCTCATTTATATAGCATGTTTTAAACACAGAATACACACAATGCTGTACATATATAAGCTTGTTTTTGAATCTATATAAGACTTTTATAAAGACAAGAACAATTACTACATTCTTAAAACAACACACCTAGGACCCTGCTGGCATATTGCAATAATGAAATAGTCCACTCACTTGAAAATGGTTTCTGGTGTTACAGTCCCCATAGGTTTGCTTGTTCCCATGTCCTCTTTCTCCAGTATATTCCACATGGTTATTAGTGCTTTGAGGGTATGCTTTAGGCTCATATGTGTCTGTGGAGAAATCACTGGTCTCTGTACATTTTTCTGTGTCCATGCTGGTGTACGTATAATCTCCCTGGGTGAACTGATGATCCTGGCTCCAGGTGTGAAGCACAGGTTGACTCCGATGTCCACTGATCTGAACAGCACCATCCCCATGAGCATACTCATCATGGAGGCCTTGGTCATAGTCAACTTCATATTTCTTCAAAAAGACATTGACAGTAATAGTGATTATTCTGTAAAAGTTTAAGAAAGAAAAATGTCTCAGTGAAAACAAATGAGCACCCTACCTGTTCTTGAGAGATTGGCCTTGGATGATCGGACCACTGCTGAGTCCATGTGGACTGTGGGCTGAGTAGACAGGGCAATACAAGCATAATTATAATACAATGCAGCAATCGTACACTGTAGCTGCTTGTCTCCCATCACACCCAAAATACTCCAATTCTGGACCAGCAGCAACATGTGTGTTACCTGGTGCCAGTGTTTTTATTGCTGCAGGGAGAGTACTCCAGCTCTGGGGAGGAGTCTCTGCTGTCCTCCAGCATGTCATCAGGCAGGTCTGTGAGCAGTTTGTGCAGCTGTGAAAAAATAGCGCATGGAAATGAGTCACCAAGGTTGCTCCGCAACCACATTATAAATTAACACAGATTTTAAAAACTGTTAATCATTTAAGTAATTTATCAAGCAAAATCTCCAAACATTCTCTGGTTAAATCTTTTAAATGGGCCACTTTTACCATTTTTAAGTGATCAGTGGTGAATGTACAATAACATTTAGTTGCCACCCAAAGTGAAATTAAACTCTATTTGACGCTGACAAACCACAATGTCTTGTTCTCTCTATGTAAAAACATCTTAGCTCTCCATGACACAACAAGAAAAACTTTCCTCTGCAGCAGTAACAGAAAGACACAACCATGTGTGACAGAACAAGGACAGTCAGCTGTACTTACGTCCCACAAGGACCGCTGAATACTCCTCAAATCCTCCACTGTGTCCACAACTGAAGGACCCATATTAAACCACTTACATATTTAACACAGATTGAAGAGGCACTTATGCTTCATCTGTGAAGCCATATCTCACAGCCTAATCTTTCTGGCGAAGAAGACCTTCTACGTGAAACATCCAAAATGTGCCTGGAATGTTGTCAGCTTTCTCTGGTATTGCAGTTTTTTTCCTCCAAAAGAACTCCATTGTTTGACAAAATATGTAGCACCGTTAACTGGAGCAGAAACATTCCAATTATTGGCAACAGACATTTTCCACTTGGCCAACATGTGTATGATAAAAAGGCTACACCAAAGAAAAAAAAATCTATTTAAAAATTGACATTCAAAGTCCTATTTTTCTGAGTGTTGCAGCCCACTCATAAGGCATTCAGTATATGTCTCTTCATGCTTGCTCTACTCAAGCACAGGAACAAGATAATCTAAATAAAGGAAAAAAAAGGGAAACCACAGAGCAGAGCTGGTTTCAGTGTGACACACCTGGCACAAAGCCTTTTCCTTTTCCTTTAGCCAATAGCAGCTCAGATTCATGGCGCAACAGATTGTAAGCATGAATAACAACACAGCATGCCCATCTAGCTGTGAAGCAATAATACAAACTTATAAAAACATATAAGAACCTGACAAATATAAGGTTCTTAAAGGTGAGTAAAATAATTTGGTAAACGTACAAGCATGCCACTGTACATAATCAGTGACTAAAGTGATAGTAATTATGATATCGGTAAAGTAAAGACCAATAATGTCCTGAGAATTGCACAAACCAAACTTTATCCATTTATATTTTTCATGCCCTGGATATATCCTCTCATTTGATGTGTTGGATGGTGGATGCTCGACAATAAAGTCAAGACATTACTGCATCTCAAGCAACAAGAGGACCTTTTGCAAAATTCCAACAACACACAAAACAGTCCACTCACTACACAGAAATGCTGCTTAATACAAATATTAGCCCAAAAATTTGACAAAGCTGTAGACAGGTGTCTTATACCTCTTGCTCTCTGGCAAAGTCTTCTTGGTCATATTCTTCCTCTTCATGTTGGGTTTGAAGAGCAGCACTGTCAAAATCAATAGACATGATGCACAGCCTATTGACACAGAGTGTAGTGGGGAAAGAGGAACATCTTTAATGAGGCAAAATCACAAACATTCACATACTGTATAGACATTAGATTCCAGGGCTAGTGGGGGGATAGTGTGATAAAGTTACTGTAGGTTCAAATTATGGTAAGGATAAACCAACGCAACCTATTCCCAAGGTTTGGAATCTAATGCCAACCGCTAAGATAGTTAACGTTAATGTTACAAGTTAGCTAAATGTTCTGCTCCTGCCGCATTAGTAGCAACCAGTTAGGAAAGACACAAAGTGTCGGCTTACCTGTCGGTAAATGTGACAGAGGCTTCCTTTGTTGAGCTGCTTATCCCTTTAATTGGGTAGTTAGCGTTTATGTTAATGGGTATTAACTGCTAACCGCAATACTGTTTACATCACTAGCTAGCTAACTAGCATTAACACAACTTGCCCTGCCTTTGCGACAAGCCAGACAGACATAAACACCAACCTGACCATGCTTTGAAAATGCAACGGACCATACGTTTGAGCAACCATAAAAGGTTTAGCGCTGGTTTGCGTGCATCTTACCAAACAATAACGTTAGCCAAGCTTTGTACGGTACAAAGCTAACACCGGGGTTAGCTCTTTAAGAGCCGCAGGCTCGCCCACTTTGAAAAGTCGCGCGCATTAGCAGCGCCAAATAGGCTAGTACTGGCTGCGGCAAAACGCACTGACTGTCCGAGTCTTATTTGACCTTAACTGTTAGTATTTCACCAACAGATTAATAGTATAATGCCAATTCTTTGCAAGAAACGTGCATAGTAGGGTATATTTCATAAACGTTATTGCCCATCTCAACCCAGAAGTGAGGAACTAACTCCCAGACTAACCACATCCATGCATCTCCATAGCAACGTTTCTTGAACCCTGGGTAATGTAGTCGTCGTGTTTCATTGGAAACGAGGCTGTGATAATTTTGAAACTGGTATGAATTATAATCGCCTTTTATCTGAAAAGTGTAAAAGAATTAGATACTAAAAGATGATTTAATTAATAAAGAGCGAAAACGTTACACATTAAAGTGATGTGCTTTAGAATGGTATCTTCGACTTCCAAAATAATCATAAGGTTTGTCTCCCCATCATATTCCTCTAATTTCCCCATCCACGTTGAACCTATGGAGGTTGGCCCATGTTAAACCCGCCCCCCGTTCTACTGTTTCATTCCCACTCATAAGGCATTCAGTATATGTCTCTTCATACTTGCTCTACTCAAGCACAAGAACAAGATAATCTAAATAAAGAAAAAAGAGGAAACAACGGGGCAGAGCTGGTTTCGGTGTGACACAGTTTCTTCCGTGTTTTTGCATTGTAGCCTAACGAAAAATTTACCGCCCGCAGTTCAGCCATGTAGCTTCCGGGATCATCATGTGACGGTCAGCTGATCTCCGCTAGGATATATGCAGAAGCTCTCCTGTCTGGCAACGAGTGTGCATTCATCGTTATCTCAGAGGCAGAAATGGCCACATACCCACCAAAGTTAAAGATTGCTACTGCTTCTAATGAAAGGTGAGTAGCAGAGACATGTGCAGATTTTTAGGGAGCCAGAGAGATGAGAAAACTAATGAACTACCCACTTTGACTGATTCCTAATCACCACATATTTTAATTTGTCATCTATTACAGGCTGCAAAACTTGAAAAATACTTTTGAAGCAAAGTATGGAGTATCTCCTCTCTTTTATGCATGTGCACCTGGAAGGGTAAATCTTATAGGTAATTTCATTTTATATCTTAGGTAATTTAATAGGTTTCAAGAGTAGACAGAATAGCATTTACTCATATACTGGGTATTAGTAGTAGTGGTTGATGATGTACTCTGATCTTTTACTTAAGTAAAAGCAACAAGCCACAGTGTAGAAATACTCTCTCACAAGTAAAAGTTGTGCATTCAGAAATGTACTCCAATAAAAGTATAAAGGTGTTAGCATCAGTATCTGCTTAAATTATGACAAGTAAACGCACTGTTTATGCAGTGAGTGGCTAATTTCAAAATAATAAGTATTATATTATTAGATGAATGTACATGTTACTAATGTTACAGCTGGTAAAAATCTGATGTTAATGATTTGTTGCTCAGTTCAAAGTTATTTGATGATTTTTCTTTGTGCCAAAGGAATTTAGAGAAGCATTTTATTTTGTTTTGGTTGTGTTAAAAATCCTCTAAGAAAAATATGTGGGTGGAAGGTCATTTGGTAATAAATATAACTAAAGTGAATATTAGCTATTGGCAGCTTATAGTCCACATAGATTGCTACAAGTGCTAAACTTATTATTTTAGTGCCATCTAGAGACAGCTCCTTTTCACATATGTTTCCCCACAAATTTCTCACATTTAACAGGAGAGCACATTGACTACTGTGGCTATTCTGTGCTTCCAATGGCCATTGAACAGAATATCCTCGCAGCGGTCTCAGTGAACAATTCAGGGACGATCCAACTGGCCAACACTAATCCTCAGTACAAGTAGGATGTCAGCACTCTTGATCATTGTTGAACTTTTATATTTGTTTGTGTATATTATTTAGGGTCTTGAAATGCACGTACAGTATCCTGATCTGTTCCATGAATGCTTGTTGTTTGTCATGTTTCAGGGACTTCACTGTGTCATGTTCAGAGGACATTGCCATAGACAGAGACAATCCAAAGTGGCATTATTATTTTCTCTGTGGAGTTAAAGGTATTCAGGTATGACATATATTTTCAACTTCTTCTTTATGACAAGGATAGGATAAAGAATTGAGTATGTAATAGTGTAATAAAAAAATAGTTGGTTACATTTCTGGAATTAATCTTCTGGTTGTGTTTTTATTCCCATGCAGGAGAAGTTTGGGATTGCTCATTTAGCAGGGATGTCATGTGTTGTAGATGGAACCATTCCTCCGAGCTCAGGTCTGTCCAGTTCTAGTGCCTTAGTTTGTTGTGCTGGACTCCTAACAATGGAGGCAAATCAAAAGACCCTGTCCAAGGTAAAGTGATTTATAATTGATCCATTTCATTGAAAACACTATATAGTCATGCTGGGAAATATGCTGTAAGGAATGTGAGCAGAAAAATATTATTTTACCAGCATCATTTCACATTTAACCCATAATTTTCCTAACTTTCGTACCATCTATGATTATGAAAGGGTGCTATCTTCAGTGATCTGTATAGTCCTTTTCTCACTAAACTCAGTATTTCTCCAGGTGGAACTTGCTGAGATTTGTGCCAAATGTGAGCGCTACATTGGCACAGAGGGAGGTGGCATGGACCAGTCTATCTCATTCCTGGCAGAGAGAGGAACTGTATGTAGCTTTCCAGTCATTACAAGTGGATCAGAGTCATTTGTTCATTTACACCATTAACTCACTAAAAGAAATCCTAGAAGAATGCAGGAGTGTGCATGTTTAGTAGGTGTAATAAGTCTCTACCATATTCGTAATGATTTGAATAATGGTTTGTTTACTATAGTTTGTTGTAAATTTTCTACGTAGTCAACAAGTGACCACAAACATTTTGAACTGTCTGTCAGGCAAAGCTGATAGAGTTCCAGCCTCTGCGGACCACTGATGTTAAGCTACCAGATGGGGCCGTGTTTGTGATCTCCAACTGCTGTGTAGAGATGAACAAAGCTGCTTCTTCTCATTTTAACATCCGTGTGGTGGAGTGTCGAATCGCCACAAAGGTACACCGTCCCGGTGGCTAATTCTCAACCTGATTGTTGGGGTAAAAGGATGATTTATGAGACCAAAAAAAACCCACATTTGTAGGGCCTTGTGCTCTTTAAATCTTCATACAAAACCTCATCAACATAAATGTGTAAATATCAATATGGTTAAAGTGTAGAGAAGGGTAAATGTTTGATTTTGAACATGAACTTTAAACAGCTTATATGTGACTAAAAAGATTTTAATATGTTATATAAATCAGTTGATACCAAATATCTTGGCTGCTGTGAACTCAGATGCTGGCCCAGGTGAGGGGTCTGGATTCAAACAGGTTGATGAAGCTGGCCCAGGTTCAGCTGGAGATGAAGGCCTCGCTGGAGGCGATGCTGGCATTGGTGGACAAGGTTTTACATCCTGAGCCATACAGTCGAGAGGAGATCTGCAAGGTGTTGGGCATCACCTCCGAGCAGTTTTCCACAGAACTGCTGAGCGCTAACACTCAACATGGTAAGCACTTACTCAGCTCTGTGTGGACGTCATCACAACCAAGCAGGTAGTTTTGCTTGACCAGTGTTCATACAGATGAGTAACAGACAGATGTGACAAACAGCACATCTGCCTCCTCCCTCTCAGTAACACATTTCAAGCTGCACCAGCGAGCCAAGCACGTGTATGGTGAAGCAGCACGGGTGCTGCAGTTCAAGACTGTGTGTGACTCTGAACCAGCTGAATCCCTTCAGCTACTGGGAGACTTGATGAACCAGAGCCATGCAAGCTGCAGAGACCTGTATGAGTGCAGCTGCCCTGAACTGGATCAACTGGTGGCCATCTGTCTGTGAGTACAGCAAAGTCTCAAAGGGATCAAATGAGATATCTGCCACTGCAGTTTTAGAAAATTTAAAAAGACCGGTGTTGGGCAATTGTATTAAATTACTGACTTAATAGTTTTTTTTCTTGTTTCTCTTGGTTGCAGGAAGTCGGGGGCTGTGGGTTCCCGGTTGACAGGAGCAGGCTGGGGTGGCTGTGCATTCTCTATGGTGCCCAGTGAGAAGGTGGAGTCTTTCTTACAGGCAGTGAGAGAAGCCTACTATCTCCCTGATCCACGCAGAGCAGCAATGGAAAAACAAAGTTTGTTTCTATCAAAGCCAGGTGGAGGAGCTGCAGTTTTTCTTGATGAGTGAGATGCATCACACTATTGTATAGGTTTAATTATACAGGTGTGATTCATTTTCAATAATATATTCCTGAAGGGACGTAGAGGGATTTTTTTTTTTTTTTTTTTACATTTAGTCTTGAAATGAGGCATAAGGCTTGTTCACAAATGACAACTTAATAGAAGTACAAAATGTGAACCTTACATTACTGTTTAATTTTACCTCTTTACCTAAGATTATTCTGGGATATAAGGGCCAAACATTTACTTGGGTGATGCATTATTTCTAAGAAAAGCAGTGCATTTTTTTGTGTTAAATTTTATTATTATTATTATTATTTTAATCATGAATGTTAGGGATTTTGTATGACTCACTGTGTTAAAGGTGTGTGAGCCACTGGGAAATCAGAATAGAAAGTCCTGATTACATGCTGGCCTGAAGCTTCTACACAGGATCAGTTGTTTCTTCATTAGAGAGTAGTGATGGTGGAGGTTTGGTGGTCTAAGGCACGTGCTGCTGTATTGTACTAAAGGTAACCGCAACAGTCTATGTTTTAATTCAGGTATCTTTATCCCACTGTACCTCATCCAGCCTTTTTTTGTCACTCATTCTGGTCAAATAAAATTTAATTAATTTGTTGTTTACATACTTGGCATATTTGAAACTTATCGAAGCTTCAAACACTGCTTGAGGTTGTTAGGCGGAGATATTCATTCAGTAATTGAAATTCATGAAATCTGAACTAAACTATAAAACCTGTGACATTGGCCTCATATGACCATGATTTTAGTGCACAGTGTTTAGCTGACGTTATTTGATTTCCTAGGATTGGACACCATTTATAATAAGTTGGAGTAAATAGATAATTGACTAATTTATCTAAAGTATTTTCTGATACAGTTCTATTTTAAATTTGTCAACAATTTAATTTTAATAATTAGTCATCACTACTTCACTCTTGAGAGGTTAACCACGTTTAAACCAATTGTATTTTAGTTTTTGTACTAAACATATGCAACTTTGAACAGTTTCTAATACTCTACTATAGCTGAAATAATAATAAAAATAACTCAAAGAGAGAGTTTAAAGGTTTATAATTTTTATATAAGAGAGTTGCAGCAAGCAATAATGCAAAAATCATCAACAATAAAGTGATTTGTTTACAACTCTACAAATCAACAAAAGGTGTTTTCAGTCATTAATTTAAGCTCTTTAATTACAATTGTTATAGTTGAGCTCTCGCATTACTGAATAAAAGTCAAAGAATCTGTCACTGATCACCAGTCACTGGTTGTTTCAAGTTGGTGCTTGTTGAATTTTGTTGAACATCATAATTCCAATGCCGGTTACCTCAAGGTAGGGACTCATACATTGTTTTTTTTTTTTTTGTTGGAATGTGGGATTTTGCTGAACAGTTCAGTCATCCCTTGTTGCATCCCACTCTTAGTAGCTGCTCTATATCTGGTTTTCATCTCTTCCTCCCCTAGAGGCCAGGCTGCCCTGCTGTTATGATGATATGTCTTTCTAGCCTGCTTCTCTGTGCTTTCTCTGTCTTTTGGAACTCAGAAAAACAACCAGACAGAGCCTCCGGCAGCAGCTGCTGAGAGCCCTTGTTGTTCCTGTTTTTTGCTGTGGTTTTTAAAGGATTTCTGTGAGTTAGGCTGCCTTCTCTTTTTCAATCAGACATCCCCATTTTACCAACTGTCCACCACAATGACTTAACATTTTCTACTGTTATCTTTTTTACAAATATTCATTTACAGATTAATCAGATGTTTACTTTATGCACGAAGCCATAATATTTTAAAATCTTCTTTCCAGTAAACTCAGTGATTCTTTTTTCTCTTCTTACAGACACTCAGACATCTCTACCCGCACTTCCTCTTTTTTAACAGCAGCAGTACACACATGCAAAAGTGCATCACATTGGTAAAATGTCATATAAAACCATACATTAGGCTCATACTGCTGTCTACAGCTATCACCTGGCCTCCCTCACCTTTCCTACTGTCTCTTGCCCATTTACACTAATCACGTTCACCTGTTCCTCACTCCCTTATCACCAGCTGCACTTGATTAGGTTGCTCACTATATTACCTGGTTTCACTCCTCAGTCACTTGCCAGTTCGTTCTAGTCTCTAGGCCATTTTTTCTCCGTGCTCTTTCGTTGTTTTGTATGTATTTATCCCCTAGCCAGCTACTGTTTTGTGTTCCCCCCATGGACTGTTCCTCCGGACCGTGGCTCCACTCTCAGCTCGGCCCAGCTCTCCATCTCCTCGCCTCCTGCTGTTGGTCAACACCCGGCTACTACTCATCGACAGGACTGCGCACTATTTCCCTCTGTGCACTTTTATTCTTATCATCACTGTACATAATAAATCACTGCTTGCATCGAAGTCGGCTACCTGGGTCCGCCTCTTTCTCGTTCGCTCACTGACAGGTGCAAACGGCACATAACACTAGTGGTGCTAAAATGTCCCAGCTTTTCTTTATTAATCAGGACATGCGTTTAAAATAATATTGAATGAATCCACCAATTGTTTAAAGATCAAACTGGATTAGTTGCCACAGGATGGTAAATGTTTCACATGCATAATATTGTCCTTATATACCTGCCATTGTTAAACCAAACCTTTGCAAATTCACGATGTTCTGCGGGATAGAGATGAAAAAGCTTTACATGATCTGCATTCAATCATCTGACTTTCTTAGACACCCTCAAAGTAATCATATTTTATTTGGCCTTTATTACATTAATAAAAAATTGAGGTATGGCTGTGTTGTTGGATTTGAGTGTAATTTCACACAAATGAACGGCAGTCATACCTAGTGCTTGGTCTGTTAGTCAGAGGTCAGGTTCACTCTGTGTGCTTTGGAGTCTGTTGCTCTGTTTGAGCTCTGTGCTTTCATCAGAGATGCAGGACACTTCGTTCTTACTCTTAATCACATTTTCTATCCAGCTGGAGCTGTGTGGCTCTCTTTCAGGGGAGCAAGCAGAAGAGACCACGCTCATCCGCATGTTTTTGCCTGAGGTAATCAGCTCCCCATAGCCCTGTTGGTGGGAGAAGGCATAGGCAGATCGACGAGAGCTCGTCCTGCGTACTCGCCTCAGGCTCCGCTCCTGAGGTCCTTGCTTCTTTCTAGACTGTTGTAGATGACGGACCTGGTGAAATACAGCAGTGATGGAGAAAGTACTTAGATCCTTTGCTTAAAATATCAATACCGCAATGTAAGAATACTTTATTACAAGCAAAATGTATGCATTTAAATCTTGCTGAAGCACAGAAGTATTATAGGCAAAATATGCCTAAAGTGTCAAAATTAAAAGTACTCATTCTGCAGAAAAGTGCCCCTAGTGACTGATATATTATATATAATGCTATTAGATTAATACCATCGCAATTGTGTAAGTAGCATTTTACTCTTGTAGCTGCTTAAGGTGGAGTTAGTTTTTCTATATACAGTTACTTTGGCCCACTGCCCAGTAGTTCCCAATCTGACATGATTTCTTTAGGCAAGAATAAAAAATGTTCTGCTGCACAAATGTGTATTCATTGGTGTTATTTTTCTATAAACCTAACCATGACTAAATATCTTACTTTCCACTACCTAAAAACAGCCATGAGGGAAATGTTAATGGTGTGTTTATTGATTGCACAAACACTGTATGTGCATTAAAGTTATTGTACCTTGTCTGTCAGAGTTGGGAAGAGGTCTACTCTCAGGAAGCTGACTACTAAGCTGGGCACAACACACACCACAGTAGTCAGCAGAATGATCAGCCACACACTCTTCTCTGACAGACAGTTACGGGCTGTGCCTGAGAAAACACAGACTTATTTGTACTCAGTGTCCATGCGTCAACAGTATTTCCTTACATGTATCACACTGAGCAAAACTTACCTACAAATGGGAAATTCTTAGGGATAATGAAAAATATGCCATTGCTTTGCACCGTGAATAATATGGCAAAATACAGTGTCACACTCCCCCATATGAAGAGGTGATTGACAGCTGCCCAGTAGTGTGTGTCAAGTCCGATCTAGGAACAGATACACGCAAAACAACATTATATTATATTTTTTCTAAACAACAGGACTACTTGTGTCTGTTTCTCTGTTTATGATCTCACCTGAACATTTACAACAATAATCAAAGATGTTGCTATAGTAACAGCAAACACTTGTTGTTCTGAAAATTGTGTGGCGTCCTCTTTGACTATGTCAGAGAAGGCTCCGTAGGGAATAAAGAAGACCAGGAATGATGTGCCCAACCCCTGTAGCGTGCACAAGAAAAACTGGCGTTTGTTGAAGAGTAGGTTTTGCTGGCCGGGTTTGTAAAGGCTCGGGTAACGAAGGCTGTACTGGTCACTGACATCCTTTAGGAAACAGAGAAAGTATGAGTACTTGATGTGAGTAACTTAGTAAGAAATGTGCTGAATGATGGTCAGAAGACAGTCAGGAACTGGGTTGGCTGATGGTAAACTGAACAATAAACAGATTAACTGTGTATTGAGATATTTATGCATTAAGTTTTAATAGGTTAGAGGTTCTAGTCACACGTAAGTTGAATTTAGTGCAGTGCTAGGTATATTAATGACGACACAGTGAATGGGGTCTACAGTAATACAATATTCACCTGTATGACTTGACAGTATCTTGAACAGAAAATCAAAAAAGAAATGTATAAGATGACTGAGGAGGTTTCCACTGGAAACTGCTGGAAACATAAATGGACTCCAGTCCAAATTTCAAAATGAAGAGTTTGTTTGAAAAGATTTAAGCAGGTTGATTATATAAGTCAGCACTGTGTTATCATCACATAGTCAGCAGTAATACCTGATCAAACAGCCCCATTGCCAAGACTGGCAAAGATGTATAGACTATATTGTAGAGGGTAATAAACCACTGGTCATATACAGTCTATGGAAAAAGCACAGTAACATATAATTATTGCAAAACAAAAAAGAGACACTTTCAAAAACCAAACAGGCTTCATAATGCATTACAGTATGCTTACCTGAGCTGAGAAACCACAGAAGAAGCCATACCAGAAGTGTACCAGTGTGAAGGCAAAGTTCTTGTAGAAGAAGTAACAGAGGAAATTACACATGCGGAAGTAGGACCAGCGCCCGTGCACCAGCAAGAGCCGCTGCAGGTATCGAAACTGAGCAAAGGAATAATCCGATGCCAGAACGGCCTGCATCCCCTCCTGGCCACTGATGCCAACACCAATGTGTGCAGCTGAGGAAGAAATACTCTGTTTGGATAATTGGCATTTGAAACTAGAATATCAAATGTCATTGAAATATTACTGAAGTATTTACTACATTTAAAGTATAACCTGTGATCCTAATTTCACTAAAATTGGTTGACAGACGTTTCAGTTCAAGGGCTAACCATTTAAAGTTAAACTTTATTTTGTATAAAAAAATCAATTTACAACTTAAACTCTTCAAATATGTATGTGAACATATACAGACTGGGCTCCTACATTATGTAAATTGCTTTAATTTGCTTGCAGAGGGAGGTCAGGTTCAGTTACAGAAAAGTATACTGGAAGAAGACATTCCCAGCTGCCATCTTTGTTTGGATTAGGAAAAAGAAGTGCAACTTGAGGTTAAAGGTTACATTCTTTTTCTTTTGTGTGTATGTGTTGACCTGAATATTTTCTCAGATATTCAGAAGAGCCTCAGGTGATGCTAGAAGCAGAATCGCTGTACAGTAAGTGTTGTAAAATGACTTTCTAGGTTTTTCAAAAATGTTCTGCGTATATATATTATTTGTAGGAAAAACTGATGCTTAGCATAATAACAATGCACCGTTTTAATGTCAGACCCCTGGGTCCATGAGTAACAGTGATCAATCCTTGAGACTTACTCTTGATCATGCTGACATCATTGGCTCCGTCTCCTATGGCCAGGGTGATGGCCCTCTTGTGCCTCTTTACCAGCTCGACCACCTGTGCTTTCTGCATCGGAGTGACCCGGCAGCAGATGACTGACTTACACAAACAAGCCAAGTCCAGCAAGATGTGCTCAAGCTGTGGCTCCAGAGCATGAGCCTGCAAAGAAAACACATACATCACAGCTGTTAAACCTGTCATCACCACCTTCTTACATCAAACCCTACAGAGGCAATACCAAGCAACAGCTCAAGGTATCATTTCCAATAAGCTGTCGTGCATCATGCATCCCATCCAAAGCACAGCACGGGAGCAGCTCCTCAGTGAGGAAATGGAAGTTAATGAAAACTTGTAATACAGCCGAGGGCCCTCAGCAGCACAGCAGCTCTCTGCTCATTACAAACTCAGCATAGTCAACAGCTCCTACAGGTGCTTGGACCAAAATATAAACAGGCATGACAAACAACAAGCACAGCAGAGGATGGAGTTGTCATATAATGTAACACACTTCTTACCAAACTGTGTCCATTGATGACTAAGGCATATTCTGCAATAATGGTTTCTTCGAACACAGAGTCATCTGAAAATGCATCTGTCTTCTCGACATCTCCTGCAGCACTAACTCGACTCAGGCCGAGGATGTGCTCCTTAGCTGTCCTGACGAGACAGCAAACATACATCTTCAATATGTTTATATACAGTAAAATGAATACAATTGAGCTTGTACTGATTGACAGAACTCTTTAGGTCAGCAGGATGAAATATTGATTATAGGCACTGAATCTGCATGATTTATGATTCCAAGATTTTCCATAAATACCACAGTGGCATAGCAGGTTAACTTTGGGAGTTGTAGTTCTTTTGACAATATCAAGCTGCTGCGTGAGCTGCCATGAAATGATAAACGTATAAAATGTTACCTGAGTTCTTGTTGCACTTCCACGAGTGTGTGCCCAGAAATAACAAACACCTCATTCATGTCATCTCGCAGCATGTTGCAGGAGTAGCCGATGTTCATCGCTGTCTCTGAAATATCATACACAGTTTACAGCCTTGTTGTTTTTCACAGACAAGCGAGTGGTTATTAAAGCAACTGTTTTTCTGAGAGTTTAGGTGAACTACTTTACCTAGTTTGTCTCCTGTGAGAACCCAAATCTTGATGTCAGCTAGACCTAGACAGGCAATGGTCTGTGGGACTCCTTCCTGAAGTTTGTCCTCTACTGCTGTGGCTCCTAGAAGCTTCAACCAGGACAGCAGTCAGTGTGCAGAGGCTAAACAAGTTTGATCACTTTAAGAATGTAAACAAAAGGTTGTCAAGATTACCTTCAAGCCCTGCTCAATCTCCTCATAGACAACATCCAGCTGATCTTCACGATTCTCAATTACAGTGCTGGCAAACAGAAGCTTCTTGTTCCAGACTTTAAAATAATCTTCATCAAGATCTTTGTAGGCCAGAGCTAATGTTCGAAGCCCTTCTCCTGCAAATTCCTGCAGGAAAATGATTGAAAAGCAAACAATTTACAGTAACATTTGTGTGTGCAACAAAACAAAACAACCAATACTTCTATTGTCAGTTTTTTAGTAGAGACACTAATACAATCTGAATCCAGCTATTTCTAAAATTTTGACAGTTACCTGCACCAGCTGATCCCCTCAGCACAAACTGCTGCAGGAGTCACCAGTATTAGGTAAGAACATTAATCCTTTTGGTCACTTTGTTTGGCTTATTGAATTTATAAGACTATAACTACACAATAGAGATGCATAATGCACTTATTTAAAATAGAGTCTTTGTGTACTAATGTCACCTAATCAAATAACACTTACACTGAGATGTTCAGAGGTAGTGGACATGAGGTCTTCATTTGATGGATCCAGACGCTCAAAGATAATCGTGTCAGCTCCTTTGCAGTAAAGTTTAACTTGACCCTCTGGATTTCTTACTGCAAAACACAACAACACACAGGAAAAGAATACGACGTTACTTTTTTTGGTCAAAGTCTATTAGCAGACAAATCAGATGGATTACAGATGGATTACAGACTGCTTGTAATTACAGACCCTTCTTGCTCCCAGAATAAATCTGTCAAACAAATCCTTGTGACGTGATTGTTGTGGCACTTTCACTCTGATGTGCATCATGTGGAACATTATAGTGTTTGAGGTCTGTCTGTCTTTGTAATGACTTTAGTAATGTTAATGTGCATGAAAGGTTATGTTGACTTGTGAGAGAGGAACTAGAGCATGAACTAGTACATTGTCATTCTAAGCGAAGACCTAACCAATGACACTCATTCTCTTGCGCACGTTGTTGAAGTCCAGTATGGCCAGCAGCTGGTAGGTGACGGCTTCTCCCATCTCACACAGTGTGATTGTCTCGGGGGTTCGGGCCCGGAAGACAAACCCAAAGTTTCGTGCTGCAGTGACCAGGGCTCCCTCATCAGGTGACTGGGCCTGATACACCAAATGTCCTTCAGGTTAACAAAAACATCCATCAGAAAACACTTGAAAAAATTCAATAAATTCTGTTAATATTGGTGTTTGTACTAGACCATGTACATCTTACCTTCACTCTTCTCCTCTGGCATGACAGTGTGGCACAAAGCCAGCAGTCTGAAAAACTCCTGCACTGCAGGGTCCTCCAATTTAACAGCTTCAACTAGGCTGCTGTCATAAAACTTAAACCTCGTGTCACTGAGAGGGTTGAAGGAAAAGTCCACACAGGCTGTTTTCTAGTAGGGACAGAGACCAACAATTACAAAGTTTAATAGCATTAAAGAGTTTAGTGTTTCTTGTCGTTTAGCTTTACTTACATCTGTAATTTCCATCTTCTGGCTAAATTCATCATAAACATCACCTATGAGAAAAAAGGCAAAGTCATCAGTTAAATAAAGATTACAGAAATATTCTGTAGATTAGTCGCTGTGATAATATGTATTTCTATACAGAGGAGAAACAGTAATAGATCAGCATCAAATGGTTTCAAAAATGTCTCTACCATATATGTGTCCGTTAATGGAGCATTTGCTGAACACCATAATGTTCTGGGTGAGAGTGCCGGTCTTGTCAGAGAAGATGAACTCCACTTGGCCCAGCTCCTCATTCAGGGTAGTGGTGCGTGCGACAGCTGCAGTGTCCGTCCGGCTGTGGTACATCTTCAGGTCCCAGTTAATGAAGTAACTGTGACCAAGCCGCAGGATCTCCACACTGAAGGAAGATTCAAATAAAATGTTCAGTGCCTGAAACCAGTAGAATAAATAATGGAGGACTGGACTGGAGGAAATTTTAGACCTTGGCAGACAGCTGTGTTCTTTGTCTTTTACCTGACATACAGTGAGATGGGCACAACTGTATTAAGGATGATGACGTAGGACCAGAAGGTGAGAAAGCCAGAGAAAACAACATTGTTCTGAATGGTATTCCAAGGCAAATACACCTGGAAGTTTGTGTCAATCAGACTCTCCCAAATAGTGTTTCCGATGCCCAGAATAGCTCCCATACATATGAGGAAGGCAAAGATCTGAAACAAAGAATCCGCATTTTATGTTCATTTTGAAAGCTGAGGTTAATACAGGGGCCTATTTTATCAGTCTGCCTTGTTAAAAATAAGAAGAATGTTATGTTAAATATCTTGCTCACTCATGGAGCACACACAAGTCAAATATTTTGTCTGATCAGACTCTTCTCAAAACTCTATGGGTGTATATAGACAACACCTGATCTCATGTAACTCCTGAGCAGAGGTTTAATAACAGGAATAAGTGAAAACAGTTGTGCAGCTGAGCACTTACAAAACTGTTATGGTTTTTTTTTTTTTTGGTCCCTGCCGGAATCCCAAAATTTCCTGTGCAAACAAAAGCTGAAAAGCACAAATGACTTACCCACAAAACCAAAGTATTCATGAGTTTGTCTATATTTGTCCTTTTAAATTTTGTTCTTCCACAGTTTTGCATCAGTTTGGTTTGCAACCCTGTTGGAGGGGCGGGAAGACAACTATCAGTGTTGAAGGAACATTAACAAAACGAGGTTGTATGACTAAGGGAAGAGAAAGACTAATTGATGTGGATATAGAGAAAGACAGGATCAAAATAAAAATGTCATACCAGCGAAGATGACCAATCCAAAGCACCACTCAGTGTTTCTGAGAACACAACCTCGCAGCAGCATTTTTTCATTATCCAGAGGATATCTGTTGCCTCTCCAGTATAAAGTTCCAGTAAATCGATCCAGTTTGTTGTTTGGTGGCTCACAAATGACTTTTCCTGTGGAACACCGAAAAAAAACAAAACAAATAAAATATAATCAAATAATCATTCTGAATAGTATCGCAAGTCAACATGTCCACATACACCAAGTCCACAAGTGATTTGTTAACAAAACAAATATTTCAAACATCACCTCACCATCAAAGTCCATCAGTTTTGAAACATCTCCCAAATCTGAGGTGATGCTCAAGGCCTGACGAACTTTCAGATTTGTCTCTCTAAATGGTGACAAATGGAAATAAAGCTTTTGTCTTCTGTGGTGACAGTGTAGGAATTTAACAGCAAACCAGCTGTAACATCACATTCACTTTAAATGTCTGCAAAAATAAGCAACCATGATTCATGTTTTCACACTTTCTTTGTTCACATAAATGATACTGTCTCGCCGACTGCATTTAGTTTCTTATCAGTTTTACTTTATATATCCAGTGCAGCACTTACCCATCTAGCTCTGCAGTCTCAATATAGCACAGTCCGTAGGGTTCGCTACTGCTGAGAAGGAGGATGTCTGCCTGTGTAAAACCAATACGAAATACTCAGTAGTGAGAAAAGGCAATAAATCAGTCTCTGTACCACTGAAGCTGGAGCACTCAGTGTCCTGTGAATCTCCCAAAAGAAGCCTTCTGTTAACCTTCTCTTTGTTTCTATATCTACACATACAATACAGAATTTGGCTTCCTCCAATAAATGTTAATGGATGTTTCACTGTGCATGAATTAAAGCATCCAATTTGAAGACAGAGTAGCACAGTTTACTCACAGCAACAAATTGATTGTTCTCCAGTCTGATGATGTCTCCCACATGAATGTTCATCCACTTCTCATTCTGCAAGCTTGGAAACAAGAACCACAAAAGTTTACAATAAAACAACAACATTTCCTTGATCATGTGCGCTGGCTTCTCAGCAGTTATACAAAGTATTTAGAAAAACAGAAGGAAGCAGTAACGAACCATCCCCTAATGAGAACCTGAGACTGGCGGTTGTTAACTTGCTGGTCGCTCTTATATCGAAACTGAAATTTAGAAAACAGTTTTACCATATGAGAAAACTCTGAGCATTCAGAAAAACTGTAAAATATGAATAGTTAAACTAACATAATCATCTGTGGCATCCTTGATGGCCGTGATTACCAGCACCAACACCAAAGGCACGATGGTTGTGAAGGGGGACAAAGAGGATATTTCTGGAATTAACTATATGAAAAGAAAAGCAAATTAGCTCCGACTGTTTCTCCACCAACTTCAAGACCACAAAGCAGATTTCCCCCACAAACAGAGCTTCTCTTACCTGCAGTATTAGCAGTACTAAGAAGTAAGCATTCGCCACCCTCTGGAACTGCTCAAACAAGTTCATGGGCAGGAAGGTGAAGATGTTGTACTTGGAGGTTTTGATGCGATTGTCCTGAATAATAAAACATTTAGAAAAAGCACCGATGAAAACACAGTCTAAACCTGTGGATGATGCAAACTTAATCTAATTCTGAGGTCTACTTACAGCATAAAAAAACTTCTCATTGTAGTCTGGGTCATTGGCTTTTACATGGCGTTCCCTTTCTAAACACAAAGAACACACTGGCATTGTCAAGAAACAAGCTGATAAAATTATGCAGAATTGTTTTTACAGTCAGTTATTGATTTGCAAATACAAACAATAAGAAAAAGTTAAATTCTTTTACTACAATTCCCATTACATTTCCCATATACAACTCTATCTTTCATTAGACCCTCTGCGCCTCCTAAATGCCATTTCCTTTGTAGTAGTCACTTCTCCTTGGAAGCTATTTCTCTCGTTTACGGCATTTGGTATACTATTATGGTTCTTTCACAGAGTACCACTCATACACTCTTACAACATGGTTATGATGGATGAGCCTTTGTTTATGGAATATCCATGGACATGAATACACCATGACCTATGGTTGATCTGCCCTCTCTCTAAAGGGAAGTAGAACTTACTTAATACCACCTCTTTGGGTGAGTCTTCTTCGTGGCTTTGATGAGTGTCTGTGGCATGTGGACTCTGTCTGAGCCTGCCCTTTTCACCCATGTACTTAGTGTTTCATCTGCAATTTACAACAAGGCATTCACCTCATTTGTCAAAATGATGCATTATGGTTCGTTATCAGGCTGGGTCACATTTTTTAAACAGTATCAACGGGAAGCGCATTCACTCACAAACATGCCAGATAACAGTCACCTGTGAGATGATGAAACCGTGTATCAAAGCACTATGGCTTTCTGCACAGAGCAGTGCCTGAAGCAGCACAGAGCTGATCCGTTGTTTCCAAATGAGGTTAAATCATTGTTGAATTATGCATAACTCATATGCACAGAGCCGCAACAGGATAGACCTTCTCAAACAAAACACCAGACTCAGCTCGCTATCGGTTACAAGGACCATTAATTATTAAGAAAGGCTATTGTTGTTGTTCAAAGGCTTTGGTCTGCTTAAACATTTCATTAGAATATCTGGAAATGCTAAGCTGTTTCTCTAATACAGGCCTTAGTTCTCTCTGTTTTTATGGACTGGTTTTTTCCCAATCTGGTAAACTCCTCTGGTAGGTCTGCAAGTCTGAACAGATTACAATGAAATTACTCACAAATGCTTTAGGAAATAATTCAGACCACATTCTTCCTGAGTCAAACATAATTACGATAAGCTTTTACAGATCAGCTTCAGTGGTTTTAAGACATCCCAAAATGATGTCAACACATATACCGTTGAAGAAATTAAATACACTTAAATCCCTCGCTAAACATGTGGAAACATGTTTGTCTGTTCCTGCACAAGGATAAGATCACCTCATTCTGTGTCTGAGGCAGATAATTATTGCAGAATGCTACAGATGACAAACACACACACAGCACACACCAACACATAAAAAACACAGACCTCATAGACACACTCACATAGAGAGGGAGAGAGATGCTACTGTACAGCCTTATTTTATGTCTCTAAACCTCTAAAGACTGGATGAGCACTTATTGTGTATAGGAGTTATTGTATATCTTTGTGAAAGAAGAAAAAAACTGTCTCCTGCTTTTGAAAGTTCAGCAAGTCAATTTAAAAAGTTTTGTATAATTGACATGCCTCGAGCACACAACCAGTTAAGGTCCATGGTTAAAGCTGTTGTTCAGTGATAGTTTTTTGAAAATTGATATCTGTTTACTTGATTTATTTTTTTGCATCTTAGCAGGACAACAAGTATCAACGCCTTCCTGGCCAGTTTGTTCTTAGAAAATAATAATTTCAAATAAAATAAAAATTAATAAATAAAAGAAACTGAATACAGAGTAAAGAGAGACTTGTCTTACCAACTTTAGTATTCCTCCTCCTCCAGAATGCCATATTCTCCTGCAACCTCCTAAAGGTTTCCCAAAAGGACATAGAAGCCGCATTTAACTGCCTACACTGAAAAGTGTGGAGCTGCAAATTCTGCAGTGGGACAGTGCTAGAGCAAGCGTGGCAGAGAGATGAGTCAGTGTGTAATAAATGCACCTCCGAGTTATATCTGTGGTGTCTTGTTTCCTTTCTGTTCCGACAAGCTTTAATTACACTGTCAGTGTGTACAGCAGCAGGTAAATTCCCAGGACACCGTCTCCTTAGCAAAAGGTCCCAGGTGAGCAACACAACACTGGGAGATTAACCCCTAAAGATGCACAGCTCCTTCATTTTAAAAATAAATACAGTGTATGTGATGTAGCTTTCCTTGTGTCTCTATGTTATATAAATGATGATTTGAGCAATGGTAATACAATGTATAAAATGAGCACAGACATTTCTGAGGTCTGTCTATGTCTGAATGTTCTTACCTTGTGCAAGTTTGTCACAGGCGCAGGCTTGTGTTGTCTCCATGTATCCTGTCATGTAGAGGTGAGCACTTATTTGAAGCACCAAATTCCGCAGATTCACTTCGTAGTAAATGCCATCCTTGTCCTGAATAAAAATCACAAGCCAGGGATGGACTCATGTAAAGTCTGTTCCACTGCAGTGAGTAAGGAGAGCCACTGACTGCAGATGTTGGAGCCTGCGAAACGGGCGCAGACAGAAAACAATAATTAATCTGACACAATAACTCAGTGTCAGTGAGACTGAACAGATATGAATATGATGATCACTCACCAAGAGCGACCACATACAGCTGAGGCTGGAGCCTTCCTCGATGAGATGCCGGCTTGTATCTATGTGTGTGTGCTGCAATGAGTCTCTCTCTCTCTCTCTCTCTCTCTCTCTTTCTCTCTATATGTGAAAACTCCCCTGACTGATTTCTTTACCAACATTTAAACATTTAAATGCAGTCAGACACCTGGTGATGCTCTCCTGTTAGTAGCTACAGTACAACTATGAAATTTTGAATTAGGCTACACCACTCTATCACACTATGACTGAGCTTTAAAAAATCAAAAACTTACAAAAAAGGTCAATTAAAACCTTAAAAGCAGATTTGTGTCTTGGATAAGTGTTGTGATTACAGCTTTATTAGTTTAAAATGTCACTAAATAATCATCATAAGGGCTAAAATTTTATAATCTCAACATGAACGAAGAAAAAAAATTAGCTCTGCATTAAAGCATCTTTTTATACAGGCTGCTACTTTAATATTCTTGATTCAATCTTTCTGTTGTTTTATAAGCTATTAGGTCATGTCATTATAGCTTTAATTTCTTTTTCACGTTTTTTTATACATAACTCATTAAAGAATGTCTATATTGATTAAGGATGCTTCATATATCCACAATCTAATGGGGAGGAAGTGTTTTGTCATCATGACTGTCTTTTTACTTTACATACTTTATTTAAAGTTTTCCAAAATAGTGAAATTGCAACTACAGTGCCACCAACTGGCGTATATCTGTATTACCTGTATTAATAATGATAAATATCTAGTGCAACCTGTTCTTAAGCTGATTAGTGTCAGGGTCATACTTTGTATACTAATGGCTACAATACAACATTACCTGACAATATAACAAGCTACATTGTCATCATAGCTGTAAAATGAAGGCAAAATGATTGAAAACATAACGTTTCAGTGTTGATTGCTGAACAGATTAAGATGTTTGTTGTTTATTAAGAAATACTAATTTCTCAGAAAACACAGCTTTTAAGATTTTAAGATGCATTTGAACAAATTTCTGTATTCAGTTCAGTGTTATGTCCATTGTGCCAAATCACAACAAAAATCATTTCAAGGCCTTAAATGATCAGCTGAATGCCACTTTATACATAGCTCTGTCTCAATTAAGTATTAATCACTATAATTAATATGCAATATTTGACTGAAGACACATGGAGAAGAACATGCAATCAGTTGTTAATTTATCTGACACCTATGAGAAGGGGAAAGCACTCTGGACACACTTTGTTAAAACAAAATAAACAGACATATCTCTCTTGGTGTTTCGAGATCTTATTGGCATTTGATAATGATCAGCAGCTCTATAGTGAAAAAAACCATATGTTAACATTGTGTTAATACACACATATTGTTCCCTTGTCTCTATGTGCCAATACAGATATATGCTGTTATAAACTGTAAATTGATCCCAGTCAACCTCTGTGTGAATTTCATATTTAAGATGGGGAAAAGGATGAAGGTCAATAATACACAACAGTACCAATGTCAGGGCTGACAAAGAAGGTGTAAACTTCAATGGGATTACCCTGAAAATAAAGGTTGAATAAAGTAAATTAAAGCACTCTTCCTGAGTCCTGATATATGCTGAGTCACTGTGGGAAATAAAGAGGAGTCTTCTACGGGCACACCCATGTGCACAGTCCCATTACATTTCACATAGACAACAGTGAGCCAGTGTATTAACCAGGTATCATATTTCTAAAACACACTAACACAGTCATAACTATCACACTCTCGCTTAATTTCCTTCATGGATCCCTGAATAATATAAATGTAATTTGTAGAAGATGAGGTTGAGCAGTGTGTATCCTGCAGTCATACTAGCACTACCATGATTGTGATCCCTCAATAAAACTGGCATAAAGATCTCAAGTGTACTCCCATTATGACCAGATAATACTTCCGTAAGCTGTAAAGTGAAGTGCCAAGGCTCATTAGTCTTACCAGTGTTATAACTGCCCAGTCTCCACTGTTAGACTGCACCAATGACAGAAACCCGATGAATCCTGCACATATGTTGATTGAAAACCACATAAATCACTACTGTAACCAGATATAATTAAATCTACAACACAAAGCAGCCACTGTAAATCTGTCTGTGCATGGATGGGGTGGGCTGCATGAATGTATTAATAATTCATCCATGGGTGCATAGTTGATTGGTGTTTACAGCCAAATTTGCCTTACAGAAAACACTGCATTTGTGTTGAATTTGAAATAGGTTTATTTTAAAAACACATATGCAACCACTTGTAGGCTGCCGTGACCATGACAGGACAAAGTGTAACATCCTGACACACTCAACCTAAGATGCCACATCCAGACTTGCTCCTGTAAAGTAGGATTGTCATCTTTTCTACAAGCTTATCCATTGTCGATGTTCTTGTGAATATAATCGAGGTAATACTCAGCCACGCTATTGAACAGTTCTGCTCACTGACTGTATTTTTAGTTATACAAGTACAGGATGCTTTAGACTTTCGGTTAACAATGGTCGTTTCTGATTGGTCGAAGAATTTGAGGGGACGGGGACGTCCTAGTATTTATGACTTGAATTTGACACCATCTCCGTACGTCAGTCCTTCTAAGGGTGGCAACAATAAGTTTACGCCGTGTCGACACTTGCTGAGAGTAGGATGCTAGAGTGGACATCAGATCCATTATCCTGGGACATTTAGGGTTTTTTCTGCAAAAAGGACGTTTAACCGCAGTGTTGTCCGAGGTAAGTATCCGAAAAATGATTAGTTACAGCGCTAAACTGTACCAGACTGTAAGGTTGTCGGGTCTATGCCTGTACAGGAGTGCTTGTTATGGAGGAAGGGGAGTTTATTATGCAACAAGCAGCAGTTCAGCTAAGATGTAAGGTCACTGTTTACTCTAACGAAGGTGTTTTAGCTAACATTGTTAAAATGTTATGTTAACTACATATATAAATGATCGTGTAATGTTTTCAGTTAATATAACGGTATGAAAGTAAAGTCTAACCTCTTGCCTTTCTAGCCATGCACCATACTAGTCATTTTGTTAGATTTATTTTTAACTAGAGACGACAAAAGAGCGCTGACGCCAGTGGTGTAGCCGGGAGCTGATATGCTTTCACTGAGCTCTTATCTCTTTGCTGTAAACAGCAGACGCGCCTGGTTTTGACCGTGTTTTATTGCATTGCCTTCATTTATCAATGGTCTTGAGCTCGTTCCTGTCTCGATCAAATCAACATTAATGCTAAAAATACGTTCGTTTCCGTACTTCCGTCCTTCACAATAAGATCCTGCTTCAACAACTCCATAGTATGCAGTAACGGCGCCCTGTTTTCGACAGCGCATTGCATACTGCCACCTGCTGGACGGTTGTTAAACTGTTCTTCACTTTTATACTGCGGCTAATGTTTCACTACAGACGGGATATGTCATGTTAGCCCCATAAAACAGTTTAAGGCTACTAAGCGTAATAACTGACATAGTGAAAAATATAATTTCTGGCTTACTATTGGTCTGTTATTTTTTAAAAATACGTCTTTTTAAGGTAAAATATTGTAAAATAACTTCTCATGTGTGAAAAATGTTCCCTGGCATTTTTTTAGATCACAACAATCAAATGCAGCACAGTGTTGTGGCTTTTTCTGCTAATAAACCTGGCCAGAACAACCAGACCGCTCCTGACAATATGGCACATGGTGAGATGTATCTCAGAAGCCCCAGTGCAGCATCTAGTGGATATATACAGTGTATCTATGAGTTGTGGTTAGGATAATGTTAGGGTCCAGGTTAGGAGAAACACATATCCATGGGGAAACAGATTTCAACACAACACCAGAAAATGTGCATGACCAGATAGGGATAAGGATAATATTATCTTGCATTGTCCGTGAAAGGATATGGTTCCGCTAAACACAAATGAAAAATAATCTGTTGTTACGTGCTACAGCTGTTATCCAGGGAATAGACTTAAAAGTGTATCTCTTGGTCAGTTCTTAAAGTAAATTTCACCGAACAGCTGCTAAGAAAAGTCACCTTAAAGAAGTTATTTGACTGTTATGACAGCTAGTTTAATAAAAATGATTTGTAGCTAATCTCAGTGATTTGTCCTTACTGTTCAGATCTAGAATGGCTGCTTTACATCACCTGAGGCAGTACCACCCCTTGGGCATTGCTGTCTCTAAGCTTCACACGAGCAGCCATGCCTCTGCCAAACAGCATTACAAAATGCTTGTGCTCGGAGGAGGAAGTGGAGGTATTACAATGAGTGCACGAATGAAGAGGTTAATGGGAGCTGAGAATGTGGCTGTTGTGGAGCCCAGTGAGGCAAGGATCCAGTAGATCATGATGATTATAAACCACACATCTAGTTGTGCATCACTAGGACACAATACAAACTACAGATCAATGTGGCTTTCATTGATTCAAATGTTGAAAATGTTTTCAGTTTGTCAGAAACATAATGTTTCAATTCTTTCAGGTGCACTACTATCAGCCACTATGGACCTTGGTTGGCGCTGGTGCAAAGTCTGTAGCCTTGTCAAGCCGTCCCACTGCAAGTGTTATACCATCTGGAGTGAAGTGGGTGAAATCTAAAGTTCAGGAAGTAAACCCAGACAAGAATACTGTCTACACAGATGATGGGTCTCAAGTATGTTTGCTTCAACAAACAGTTATCTGACACCTTGTAAACTTATAAAACTAGGGTGTTATCTAGCTTGGCATTGTGTAGTAATTTGCATGCAGAGCTGAGCATTTCTAGCAGCATGATCGATGTGCATCGAGCCCTATGTAAAATTTACTTCATGTTACAGATCTCCTATGAGTATCTGATTGTGGCTCTTGGTTTACAACTCCATTATGAGAAGGTGAAGTAGTGCTTTGCTCATTTAACTCTACCTGGTATACTTTGGCCCTTTGGTATATGAATTCTGTTACACCCCATACAACTTATATTCTTCTTGTATGTAGATTAAAGGACTGCCAGAAGGGTTTGAGCATCCAAAGATTGGGTCAAACTATTCATTCGAAACTGTGGAGAAAACATGGAAAGCGCTGCAGAACTTCAAGGAGGGCAACGCTGTGTTCACTTTCCCAAACACTCCTGTGAAATGTGCTGGAGCGCCACAAAAGATAATGTACCTATCAGATGCCTTTCTCAGAAAGGTACTTCAAGTTTGGGGTGTAATAATAATGTGGTTCATTTTGATAAATTAAGTGTGGTTTCCCATATATAGTGAAGACATGTTTATATTTCTGTTAAAGACAGGGAGAAGGGCACAGGCCAAGGTCATATACAACACATCGCTACCTGTGCTCTTTGGGATCAAGAAATATGCTGACTCACTGTGGGACATTGTTAAACGCCGTGACTTACAAGTGAATCTGAGGCAAAACCTGATTGAAGTTCGGGCAGACAAGAAGGAAGCTGTGTTTGAAAATCTTGACAAACCAGGTGAAACCAAAGTGATTGAGGTAACTGTGCTTTGTAATTTTATTTCTCTATAAATCCTGGAATAATGATTTCTACTACCGTATACTCCACCCCACTTTTATTGTACACACCCATTTACCCATCAGGCACAGGTACATTAGACAGTGACTTCAGAATAAGATCATATATTAACTAAACTTTGTCCTACAGGTCAACACCCCCACTTGATCTTATGTTTTGCAAATTCTGTTCAGTACGTCAATATTTACACATCTCACTCCTGTCTTTTGCAGTTTATATTCCAAACAAATAATTCATCAACTGTCTGACCTTTAACTTGGTTACAAGCTTAGTCATGATGATGTCTTCAACCATGCCTGTTGTTGGCCAGTACTTAGTGGTCATCTTTCCCTCACCGAGTGCAGACCGAACAAAAAATTATATTTTATGTCAATATCTGTGATGACAGCACAGAGACAATAGAGCGTGGTCGGGAAGCACGAGGGGAAGTGGTGATCGGATTTTGCACGCCTAAAATTTCTTCAGAAATTTTAAATTCTTTAGTTTGCCTCAATGTATGCCAAATTAGGAATAAAGGTTCTGATTAATTCATCTCCTCTTTATTAGTTAGTAATTGGTAGTGTAGTTTGTATTTAGTGCCTGTACCTATAATATGAACAACTCAGTACATTTGTACATTGTTGTTTCCCTTTATACCTTAAATGTAACAACGACTCTTTAATTAATCTCCTCTTTATTAGTATGAAATGCTTCATGTCACACCACCAATGGGGCCCACTTTGGTGATTAAAGGCAGTGCACTGGCGGATGAGGCTGGTTGGTTGGATGTCGACAAAGAGACCCTCCAACATAAGAGGTATCCAAATGTTTTTGGGATTGGAGACTGTACCAATCTGCCCACAGCCAAAAC